CATAACAGGTAACTTCTTTTCCAGAAGCTTTCTTCTGACCAGATGTAGATTCAAATCTATCATTTGTTCTTCTTGATCCTATGAACTTGCTATGTTTCATATCTAACTTATTCTTTTGGATATCAGAGAAAGTTCATATGAATCTGAATCTTCTTCAGATCCTTCTGATTCCTCTTCTGCTTGAAAAAGCGATCTTTCCAGACTTAGACTTCAAAGCCACATATTTAACTCTTTTCTGAGGTTCATCTTCCTCAAGCTCTATCTCATGAATTCTTAAAGAACTGATTAGTTCCTCAAGACTGGTGTTGTTCAGAACCTTTGACAACTTCGAAGCAGTTACCATTGGTCTCCATTTCTTAGGCAGACTTATGATAATCTTCTTAACATGATCTGCCGTAGAATATCCTTTATTCAAAAATTTAAGTCCTGCAACAAGAGTCTTAAATCTTGAAAACATCGTTTCCACAAGTTCATCATCTTCCATTTTGAAGGCTTCATATTTCTGGATTAGGGCCAGAGCCTTTGTCTCCTTAACTTGAGTGTTGCCTTCATAAGTCATCTGAAGAGAGTCAAAAATAGACTTTGCAATCTCTCTATCTGTGATCTTCTCATACTCATTATAAGAAATAGCACTTAGAATATTTGTTCTTGCTTTGTAATGATTTCTGTGAACCTTCTTTTGAGCGTCTGTCGTAGCACTTATGGCAATCTTTAGACCTTTATCATCTACTGGGTAAGTGTAGCCATCAACTACCAAATCCCATAGATCCAAGTCATATCCCATAAAATAACTTTCAATTTTTTCCTTCCAATAGTCATACTTTTCTCCATCAAACACATGAGGTTTAGCATTATACTGATCTCTATCGTTATCCATATTATCACCAGTTACAGTAGCATTGCTATCTTTATCTGCCATTGTTTTTCACACAATATGGATTGATACTGAACACTGTTAGGTGCTTCATAAAAATTCAAACTTTCTATCAACTCCTCAGAAGCGGAGCACCGATGCCAACTGAAGGTGTGAAAAACACAAGAAAGGGGGGGGGGAGGGGGTGGGTTGAATTGGGTTTTAAACCAAAAAAAATTCCTTTTAAAATCCCCTTTAAACTATAACGAGTTACTTCACTTAGTGATAATAGTGATAAGACGCAAGAAGGAAATAATAAGTTATGTTTATACTAGTTCGCTTGAAAACTATCAAGCTAGTGTAGTCCATCCGCCAAGGTGATTTTGCCTTTCTCAACAAGGACTTAAACCAATAATCAAACAGATTATTACAATGCATAAGTTAACTTCAAGTGACTAACGTTACAACCTCTAAGACACACTAATCTTAAACTTCTCAAGGATTTGGACCAACTGGTCCCTTAAGTAAAATCAAACAAATGTTTGAACAAAGTTTGTTTACAAGAAATCATGTTTCTACACAAGCGGATATGTAAACAGTAATTTTAGAATATAGACTAGAGAAATATGAAAGCGTATGAACAATCTTTTTAGAATGTGAATTAGCAGCCTTCTCTCATAATCTTCAAGCCTTTATATAGCCAAAAGAATATTATAACCATTGAAGGGTACTTCTGGAATTTCCAGAAAGTTGGCAGCTTGAGCAATCACGTGAGAGACAAGATCGTATGCAAAGTATATCCTACATGGTAGTGGAATGGAACATTTTGTTTGTACCATGTACTTTTTGTACCACACAATCTTATCCTCTTTTTCTTCTAACGTCAAAGGCTTCTAAGCATGCGTTGGAAGAATGAGAATAACACTTGGGTCTTAGAACTTCAAGTCTTCTGAGTCTTCAGAACAACGTCTTTAGAATCTTCATCACTTGGTCTTTAGAACCCTTTGTAAAAACTTGGGTCACCAGAACTTCAAGTCTTCGGAATCTTCGGAACTTCATCTATTAGAATCTTGAGCACTTGGTCTTGAGAACCCTTTGTCTTCAGAAACATAAGTCTTTAGCATCTAGACTTCAGTTAGAACTTATGTCTTCAGATCTTCAAAACTTAGTTTATTGGACATGTATCTGAGTCACAACTTCGAAGTCTTCTGAAGCTTTTGTTACTGTTCATTATAACTTGTGTATCTTAGAAGCGAAACTTATTCTCTTCTAATGTCTTCACAGCGCCTTTCATCAGAAGCAGAACTTCTTTGTTAAATACTCAAAATAACAAATATTAGAGTATCAAAGTTGTTCATACAAACATACTCATTTGTTATCATCAAAACTCGAAGATAAAGTTGCAGAACTAAATCTTGCTCTAACACTACTAACCTAAATGAAGTGACCTACAAAATTTAGCTTTGCTCAGCTAGTTACACGAGTAATGCCTCATTTTCCCTCTATCGAGAATACATGGTACTCCATGTTAAGTTTTCTCTTTCCTCTTTTGCGATATTTCTTATTTTTCTAATCCACGTGTGCGATATCTCCTGAAAATGTGATTTTGTTCCATTAACTAATTGGGTTAGTGACACTGTTACAAGGAACACAAGTAAAAGGACGAATTGTCATGTTCCATTGAAAAATATGACTAACTCATATTCAATTTTGTACCAAACTGAAAAAATATTAACTAAATTGTATTCAATTTTCTTTGCAATCTCATAACTTTTCTTCACTTGAGGGAACTCGACTGACCTTAAATTTGTTTTCTTGCCAATTTTGGCTAACACTTTATTTACTTTTAGGTGTAAACGAAAACTTCAAAACTTTTTAGGCTCATTACATATTAAAATATCTAAAAATCTAGGGATCTTGTGTAATGGTATGAGACTAATTGTTGGATCATCATGGGAAGCATCTACACTAGGTCAAGAGCAACACACAAGTGAAACAGACACCACATATTCAACCAAAATCTTAAGGTGATAGGTGTATGAGTAAGAACTGACACTTGCACATAATATTCTCCCTCTCAAGTGTGAGTCTATCTACTATGCTCCCCCTCAAGTGGATGTTCTTTCATCCACATACACTTGTACAACCATTGCGGACACTACAACGGGACACGCCACCTGACCACCACATTGTCAGGAAGACTTTCGATACAAGAACTCGGTCTCTTAATTGAACCATCGGCTCTGATACCACTGTTGGGTCATCACGGGGAGCATCCACATTGAGTCAAGAGTAAAACACAAGCGAAAGAGACACCATATTTTCACCCAAAACCTTAAGGTAATAGGTGTATGAGTCATCTCACTTATAAAGTGCTCAACCTCCACTTTTCTAAGCAATGTGAGACTTCCAAAACACTCTTGTATATGACACCAATTGGTTCAATCTAAATATATCATATAATGCCCAACAAAAAAGTCTATCGCTTAAAGAACAAAGTAGGTCTAATAGAGAGGTCCAAAGTCACAAGGGGTCCTACATGCTCATATTGGCATTAAAGGATGACATAATACATGAATCTACTCATGATGTCATACCAAAAAATAATACACCTAGAAATCTACAATCTAGAAGCACCAACGTGGACACATCTTCCAAGCTATATGAACCACATTCGAACTAGATAGAGGTCATCACCTATCTTATGTCACTTATGATTAAAAAAATTATGTTTATCCATTAACGATCTCAAATATCATTTTCGGGGAAATAAAAATTACATAGAGCGTTTATGAGTCAAAATAGATTATAAATAGGGAGTTCACTTCATCTACGATCAATGAACCAATCTGTCTATTTGCTATCTACATACGTTTCTTTGTACCTTGACATCATAATGTCTTTGCAGGTACACTCCTCTCAATTGGAGAAGAAACGTAAGAGAAGATGAAAGATGGTGAAAAATCATGATACCTCACCAACAAATCATAACTAGTAATATGAATGTTACACTATCTATTTCTATTTCGATGTGCAACTTCATAAATTCACAAAAACAATTAAAAAATTATACGAATTATCATATTTTATTTAATCAAAGTTTTAAAAGTGAATAAATAGTTAATTAGAATTTATGATTTAAAAGTGAATAAATAAAATATCGCATGTTCGAATCTACACTTTTACCTCTGATATATTTACATAATTACCAATTGAGTTGACTTAAAAAAAAAAAATTATCCATAAACATAAAAAATGGCAACAAAGCATATATATATATATATATATATATATATATATATATATATATATATATATATATATATATATATATATATATATATATATATATATATATATATATATATATATATATATATAATGTCCCAAAACGAATCTTAAAGAAAGAGAACCTCGTTCTATATATTTTTAAATGATGTTTGTATATCATCTTAATTATGAAAAATTCAATTCCCATGTATATTAAGATTTGATAAGGATCTACAAAGAAAAATCTTACTTCACCTTATAATAATTGGCATAACTAAGCTCAAGCCTCAAAATAAAAAATTAATTAATCTTTTATATGATCACATAATTATTCATAGTCAAACATGATTTCCTCCCTCTAACCGTCAGTGGTTGACTATTCTGGCTCTATTGTGACGTTTTTGTTTATTTTTCATACGTAGACTATTTGGCTTCTAGATTTTTTCCCATAATAGCTATAGAATTAGATCATTAAAATACATTATAGAAGACTTTCATTTTGTTGTTGGCCTTTCTATATCATCTTTATTATAGGAAAAATTCAATTCCCATATATAGTTATTTTAATATTTGATAAAAATCTACGAAGAAAAGTATTACTTCACCTTATAATAATTGGCATCATAATTAAGCTCAAAATAAAAAATTAGTAATCTTGTATATGACAGCACATGCATCATTCAAAATTATTCATATTCAAACATGCATCATGTAGCATTGACACTAGTATTAATTAATTAATAAACTAAAAACCAAAAAATTGCATCATATCAAAGACCAAAGACCAAAAAAGTTGCATTGCACTAATTGATAATCTCATATAAAAACAGAACGATGGCTTCAAACATAATCATATCATCACTACCATTAGATCAATATGGCAACTATGTAAGAATGTTTTGTTTTCTAATATTTTTTGTTCACAATTTTAGTTCATGTTTATTATCTGAATCTATATTTTGTATAATCTAGAGGTGTGCAAGAAATTCGTCCTCCAACTCTTTCTCCTACTTCCGAACCACCACCTCTTTTTGATGGAACTACCAGGTTAATTCATTAATTTTCTCACTTTTTTTTTAATGATTTTGATTTCAGGTTAATTTGCATAAGCTCATATATTATAAAAACTTTTTCTATTTTATTAGGTTATACATGAGTTATACATGCCCATTTGCTCAACGTGTATGGATCACTAGGAACCATAAGGTTATTAAATTTTCATTCTTATTATGGTTATTTTCATTGCTATTAGGAAACTATTATTGACAGTTTGGTTTATTATTTTCTTGAACACCAGGGACTACAAGAAAAGATCAAATTGGTTCCTTTGGATCTTCAAAACAAGCCTGCTTGGTACAAAGAGAAAGTCTACCCAGAAAATAAGGTGTGGTAATCTTAAAGAAATATTAACAACATCTAATCAACTAGCATAACTATTAGTTTCACTTGATTAATTAATTGATGATCATATGTTTTTTATGTTTTTTCAACTGATACGCGCTAGTTGAATAATATAGGTGTAAATTGTTGGATTAAGATAATCTCTGACGAATATATTTATTTATATATATATATATATATATATATATATATATATATATATATATATATATATATATATATATATATATATATATATATATATATATATATATATATATATATATATATATATATATATATATATATATATATATATATATATATATATATATATATATATATATATATATATATATATATATTAATTTAAAAAATTTATTGATATTTATAAATCAACAATTTAAAAAAAAAAATATACGTGTTTCCTTAATTTTATTGTAGGTGCCTTCTCTCGAACACAATGGTAAGGTTATAGGTGAAAGCATTGACTTGATCAAATATGTTGATACAAATTTTGAAGGACCATCCCTAGTTCCTAATGTAAGAACATAAGCAATATCATTCTATTCTAACTTATTTTAAGATCAACTAGTGGAGATAATAATTGATGTTAATTAAGGAGATTTAATTTAGGATCCAGCCAAGAAGGAATTTGGAGAGGAGTTAATAAAGTATGTTGATACTTTTACCAAAGATGTGTTTGGTTCATTCAAGGGTGAACCTGTGATACAAACAAGTAAGAGATTGTGTTTTTTTAATTGAATGATATGATTATAATAATAAATGTAAAATATGCCTTGTAATTGTAAAAATTGGTCATTTGAATCAGCTGCTTCGTTTGACTATTTGGAGAATGCTCTTGGCAAATTTGATGGGCCATTCTTCCTTGGTGAATTTAGTTTGGTAAGTTGAAAACTTATGCTAGTTTGAAAAAATCAGATACATTTGCTAGTGACATTTGATACACTACAAAAAAAAATCATGACATCAATAATTATATAATATAGGTGGATATTGTGTATATTCCATTCATTGAAAGGTTCCAATTTGCTTTCTCGGAATTGTATAAGCATGACATCACAGCTGGAAGACCTAAATTTGCAATATGGATTGAGGTACATGGAATAATACCTCCATTTATTAAATTATGATGCTAAAGTGTAAAAAAAAGAGAAAAAAAAATTGTTTTGACTAATATATGGATCATCTTTTTTTGCAGGAGCTGAACAAAAATGATGCTTACAAGCAGACAAAACTTGCTGATCCACAAGAATTTGTTGCCTTCATCAAGAAGATCTTCTTGGTACTATATAAAAAAAATGGATAACAATATGTTCAATTAATTTTATGTGGTTGGCTTCATTTTCAAGCTATATGTTTTGTGCATTCTTGTTAATTAACTTTCAACACTGCTGTTAATTATGCAGGGACAGAAGTAACAAAAGATGCAGTTGTTTGTGACAGTACTATAGTTTACTAGTCAATGAAGTGAGAGTTGCAAACATTATGTGGAATGCTTGAAATAGTTTTACACTACAAGTTTATAATAGTAGGTTGGGAGTTGCAGATGGTGTGAATTTGTTATGTTTATGAACAGGCTGCAATGTATTGTGTAATCTTTATACTATAAAATTAATAATAAATGTAAGACTGATGCATATCTTGACTATGCTATATGTAGGTAACATTTGTGTTGAATATATTTTTTTTTATGAATGTAATATGAAGAAGAAAATTTATAAGGTATGACTTGAAACTTATCTACATATATGAAATGTGAATAATTTGCTAACTGGTTCTCTTACATTGAGTTGACATTATCTTGCAAATATCAAACAACTTTTTGTCATGACATTTCTTTCAAGCATAACATCAAACAGTTTGTGTGCATTCAAATCAACACCATATTTGTCTATGCACAACAAGAGTTCTTTTGAAATTGATTGTATTCAGGAGTTCTATAGTGTCTTACTATGACTAGAAAAAGATGACGGGAATAGTAATTTCAGTTATGAGACTCTTTGTTATGAGTATAATAACCGGATCTTTGAGTTTCGCCGTGGCTTTCCGCTCTTTGGGCTTTGAGTTAGTGACCAATTTTAGTGTATTACTGATCAAACTTTATCAATTTTAATTATATGTGTTTGTGGGTCGGTTCAAACAGATCGAGTATATAGAGAATTTCTTAATACATCTTATGTGTTTGAAAATTCTCTTATGAAAATTTAAAATTGTCCTTCAAATTTTGGAGATACATCTCTGAACGCGTTTTTTTCTTCAATCAAGACGTTAAAATTGAGTAATACCTAGTGTATTTTTCAAAATTTATTTTAGAGATATATCTTCGGAATAATTTAATATACACCTCATTCATCACTCTCTAAAACGCTCTTTTTTACCATAGATTATTTTGGAGATGCATCTTTGTATTCACGCCAGATAGAATTCGGAGATGCATCTCAATAACTAGATCAGAAAGTAAATTTTAAGTTTGTTTTAGTCATCCTCAGATAAAATTGACGATATAGTAAAGGTATACTATGATGAATTAGACAATACAACTGATATGCAGAAAATAACCTGTACAAAGAAATAAATCCATAGTACACAACGAATTCGAAATAAGTTAAAATAAAATACAACAAAGAATAAATCTAGAGTATAAATCTTATAAACTATTGTGTACGACAGACTCAGACTCGGCCTCGGGACCCTCTATTCCTACACTGCCTCATATACTACAGTGTCTCTGTGTCATATCTCAAAATTTACCCTCCTAATTATATTTTCACTTGGCTTAGGCTTCCCATTCATTTACATATCTTTCCATTAAGGTCATTAACATATCATGCATTCATTGAATAAAAAAAATTAGAATCAAAGGATCAGAGGATCAATGCATATGGGGAGCTAGGGTTTCATTGACTTTAAGGTTCTCTTTGCCTATGTAGGCTTGTTTCAATAAGGTTCTCATTTATAAAAGAAAACCTTGGATTAGGATTTGCCTTTTTTTTTTTGTAAATTATCAGAGGAATTTCAGGATTTTTGATTACTATGTGGATTATCTCAATATTAGGGTCTATTTGGTATATTCATCAAATGGAAGTTTGGATTCATGATTACTTGTATGGAAAGTTATTTGATTGGGATTTCATGCAAGTTTTGCTTTGAAGCCTCATTAAAAAGGGGTGAATTGATTTATTTGGAATTATGTTGGAATTCTTTCAAGTTTGGAAGCCATTGGCCAAGACTTTGACTTTTGGCCAAAGTCAACCATGGAAAGTTGACTTTTGACCAAAGTCCATTTTAAATCTTTGGTTGTCACATCATATGTGCTATTAGTTCATGATTACAAAGAGATGAAGAAAAAATGAAAACCCAAAAGAACATACATTTTGAATCAAAAACAGGGGAGAATAAGAAATTCAAAATTACTTTAATTCAAATTTGCATGAAAGGTCACATTGCATTTTCAAAAGAGTCTATTAAATTGAAAAATCTAAGAATACAAAACAAAATTACAAAAGTACATCAAAAAAATCTACATATTCAGCTAGAGTTGACTTTTGGGTCAACAGTCGAGGATGAATACATAGTTACTGGTAGTTGTTGTGCATAAGTCCTATGACTAAAGCAACAATTACTAGAATATAATTTAAAACTTGGCTGCATTCTGATTAAGTGCGATAATACTAGTGCGATAAGCCTCATTAAGAATCTGGTTCTCCATTCATGAACTAAACACATTGAGATTCGACACCACTTTCTTAGAGATCATGTTGAAAAAGTGGATGTTGTTTTTGAATATGTTGACACTAAAAATTAGCTTGCTTGTTTTTTACAAAATCATTGTCATCAAAATCTTTTCACAAGATTTGTAGGAAATTAGGAATAGATTCCTCGTGCTTTGAATAGATCGGTAATTCTATTTAGTTTCAATTGATATGTATATTTTGTTTTCACTAACACTACTTTTTAGCAAATCATAGTTTCTCACATTAAATTGGCAAGTCTATATAAATCTTGTATCTGGTTTTATATCATTATGTGTAAGTTTGTTCTAGATATGTTCATTAGTTTGTTGAATACCTTATTAATCTCACTCGTTCATATCTAGCATGTTTTTTTTACTGTTCTTCTTTTCATTTAAAGTGTTTTTAAATGTGTGTTGCTAATTATGTGCATTCAAGCATTTGTATACTTGTTCATGCATTATTTTATCTTCCTTATATGATAGTTTTGATCACTTAATTATATGTTGTTGAACGTTGTTGCATGCCTATTTGCATTTTGTTACGTGTATCATGTCTATCTTCGTGTTCTATATTTAATCTTTGTTGTTTCATATTCTTCTTAGGTGTTTAACTCATGTGTTCATCTAGAATTATTTGTTTTGTGGTTGGTTATTTGGTTATTAGACTCATTTCAATATAGCTCTTTTTGATGTTGTCAAAGGGTGAGAAGTGATAACGTGAGTCTAGAATTGTTTTATGTGTTTTATGTTGTGTTGTATCTGTACAATTTTTTAGGGGGGGCGTAAGTGTTTATTTGATATGGCTCAAAGTCGACTCAATTCCAAGTGAAAGCTTGTCCAACATCAAAAAGAAGGAGACTGACATTGCATGTCCCAAATACATTCAAGGGGAGAACCCTAATACTGTTTTGTTGCTTGTCTTGTCACTTTTGTTTCATTTATTATTGTTTATTGAGTCTCTTTCATGACTGCACATCTCAGAATCAACTTTAGAGTCAATTCGTTTTTAGTATGCATAATTCAATGGATTATATTTGAGTTTGATTATGATGCTTTAAGTCAATTGCTTGAGTTAGTGGAACAAGAACCATATGTGTTATTGGTTCAAGTTAGATGGAAAAGGAAATCTCAAAGTATTTTGAAAAACATGAAAATTTGAGATTAGATGTGCATGATTTAAATCATGTACATATCCTGACTCGAATCAAATTGAACATGGGCAAACATAAGTTTTTCAGCATTTGTGATTCAATCACAGTTTTAACTTGATTCAAATCAGGAAACTCTGTGACTCAAATAACAAGTTGCACTTGATTCGAATTAGACAGATCTTGTCATCCTCTGTCTTATTTAATTTGAATCACATTTTCTACTTGACTCGAATCACACTATTTTTCACATTTTTCTGTTTGTCTCTACAAATTAACTCGAATCAAGCTTTATACTTGACTCGAATAAAGAGCCTTCATGACTCGAATCAGAGATATAAGGTGACTCAAATCATAAGCCTTCATGACTCAAATCATAGATATAAAGTGACTCAAATCACACAAAAAATGGGTCAATTTATTTTTGAGATCTTGTTTCACTCTACTTTCTCATTTGACTTGAATCATGAAATGTTCTTGACTCGAATCTAAGTAACTTTTTCCATCCATCTTTGTGGTTAAACTCAAACACACAAATTCATTTTGTCATCTTATTTTTTTAAAAAAAATCATTCTCATAATCTACATCGTGATTTTGTGAAATCAACAACCTCTCATTTTTTTAAACCCAAAAACTCTTGCAAACATAATTTTTTCCTTCTTCAACCTCTAGTTTGATTTCAGATCTTGATCATGGAGATTTGTAATTATAGAGGGAGACGTGTCTTGAAACTAACAGTTCTTGAAGTTTTGGTAAATATTTTCAATAAGCTTGAAAGATTAAGGTTGTTGTCATTGGTAGTGAGAAATTCCAATGAAAAGAATGAGGTTCTTCTCTCCAGCTAACCTTCGTAGTGACTGTGCGAAAAGCTACAGAAAAGGTGGAGTTCTTCTTAATCTTCAGACAGTTTATCGCTCAGAATTCAAAGGGATCAAGGGGTGATTTCCATACACGAAGATTATGAGAAGATTGGTGAAGCTGGAAGATTCAAGAAGCGATAATCGAGTAAAGATTTCACATAAGAGTTTGGCATTAAGTTGTATACAAGTCAATATCCAGATACAAGATTTATTTTTCTCAGCATTGTTGTGGATTTGTGATTGTATGGACTCTTATAATATTTGGCAAAACATAGTGGAAGAAAACAAATTCCAATGGGAAACCATTAAAGAATGTAGTAGGCTCATGTGAGGATGATAGAGTTGAACCACTATATATCCCAATATATTCTCTCTCTCTCTCTCTCTCTCTCTCTCTCTCTCTCTCTCTCTCTCTCGCATTTGAATTTTCATAGGATATTGCATGCTTAGGTTATCAATTCTTAGCGTTGTTTATTATTTATTTTTGTTGGCAGTGATTTATTACATAAGGTTAATTTTTGTTAGAATTAGTACCTAATCGAGCTTTAGTGCTGATTAAAATATGGAAAATTAGTGATGTTAGAATCTAGTATTAATTGAAGCATTGTACAAGACACGTCTCGTCTAATCTACAATTACTCAATTAATCATTCGCTTTGAACAATCTGTGAGATTT